CATTTAGACGATAATGAAATCTAAAGAATTTTCCTTGCTGTTCACCAAATTCAGGTCTGTGATAATGGAAACAGTTCTTCCCTCCAAGTTCATTGTCCCTCTCCCTTTGAGCCTCTTGGACTAACTACTAGATTCCTGGGCTTTATGGGTTCTACACTCACTATCACATTCTGTTAATTCATTTCCATCTAGAGATAAGTAATATAATTACTAACTGGTAAATTTTCCATTTACTCTACTACATTAAGTTGCAATCAATTATGTTACAGCTGTTTATATTTAATATGATTAGTTTATGCCTGGAGATATTTATCAACACTCACTGTGTCCATTTACTCATTTTCCACTCATTCCTCAATCTATCCCATAGAGATTGCCCTTGTCGCAATCTGCATGTTGCCAAATTTGGTGGCTATTTTCTGTCATTTTCTTATTGAACTATTCCGAAGCAATAGCACAATTACCCACCACCACCCCTTCTTGAAGCGATCTCCTCACTTGGTGTCCATTACCCTGTACTATGTCTCTCGGAGCTGCATCTTCTCAGTCTCCTTTCCTTTTCCTCCTTCTCTACAAAATCACTAAATGTTGAAGTGCTTCCACATCTGTCCAGGACCTTATTCTCTTCTGTATCTAAACCCTCTCCCTATACCTTCTTAACTACTCCCTTACTTTTAAATACCGTCGGTATGCTGATGTCTCAGAAATATCTATCTCTCCAGGTCTCCAGACCCACATATCCAAGTGCTTACTTGGTATACCCACTTGGATGTCCAACAAGTTTATCAAACTATCTATACAAGCAGAAATCTTGATTTTCCCACAGATCTTGTTTCTTTCCAAGTTTTCCATAGGTCAATAAAGGGGACATCCATTCATTAAGCTGCTCAAGTCAAAAACTAAGGAGTCATCCTCGATCCTTCTCTTTCTTTCCCTCTTACATCCATCAAGTCCTATTGCTACTAGTTCCTCATTATATCTAAAATCCATCCTCTTCTCTCCACCCCACTGCCACCACACTAATCCAAAAGCCATTAGGTCTCACCAAATTTGTTAAAAGTGGCTCCTAACTAGTCTCCTTGCCTTCACTCTTGCCCTCTTCCATTCATTCTCCAAATAGCATCAGATTGTTCTTTGTAAAACAAAAAGTAGATCATATCACTTACTGAATAAAAATCTTCCTATTAGCAGAATAAAGTCCAAGTTCCTTACCCTGGCCTGGCTCCTGCCTCCTCTCCCACCTCTTTTTGCATCAATTTTCCCATGGCTACAGTCTAGCCATGTGGGTTCATTTGGTTCCTCTTTCAAGCCTCGGTGTCTTTGCACTTGCTGACACTCATGGCAGTAAAGCCATTCTGCCAGCTCTTCTCTTGTCCAGCTCATTCCTACCCTTCAGGTTTCAGCTATAAGACTTCCTCACAGAGAACTTCCCTTATGACCTGACTCAAAATTCTTCCTACTTCTTCTTTGCCCTCTCTGTTTGTTCTCCATCTTATCATCCTGTTTATTCCCCTCACAGTACTTATCACAATCTATAACTAACATATCCACCTGTTTGTTTATCTGTCTCCCTCAATAAAAAGAGGGGCATTATATGTCTATATCCTTAGTGACTCTCACAGTGTTTATCACTCAATAAATACTTGTTGACTAAATTATTAGATAGATAAATGATTGAATACTGTTCTAAACCTATACTCTAGTAACTGACAGACTTGGAAATCCTTAAAGTTCAGTCTCACGTTTGCTGAGCTCAGAAAGAGCAATCTCTACAGTTGGCTGATTTGCATTCATTGCCTGTATATTCTCCAAAATTTCACTCTCAGAGAGTAACTGATCATAAAATTCTAAGTGTATTATCTCCATTACCACATGCGCATGTATATTTACTAACTAGAACCAAGAAGGCATTTGCTGCTAAATTTATAGTTCAAAAGCAGGTCCTGTTATTCTTTGGATCTGATTTATTTTCTGGGATCTCCTTCTAAAAATATCTGCTTTTATCATTTTTATATTGCTTTTATTTGTGCAACTTTTCATGTTTTAGTATGTTAAGGCACCACGATTTCTTTTACATGCTGTGGTCTGACCAGCTGCTTATCAAACCATTTCTTCTTCTTTCTGGGCACAGAACTAGTGTGGTAGTCCTTTGTGTTGTTCACTAAATATTTTTGACTCTCTGCCTTACAGACACACAGTTGGTTGCTCTTCTCTACCCACTTTGATTTTAAGCAATGCTGTCTGGCTTGCATCGGCCAATGAGAGGAAGGAGATGTGGCTGGTGTCATTAATGGACTGACGCCCTAAGAGTAACATTTCCTTCCCAGTGCGGCAGTGATTGTGTGGGGTGACGAAGCACTCCAATTTTCCCAGAACTGACGGGGTTCCTGGGACACAGGACTTCCAGATTTAAGATCAGAACAGTCCTAGGCAAATTGCTCCAGGTTGACTGGGATGATGGGGGTTTGTGGGAAGAAGGGTTTTCTGTGCTAAATCTGCGAAAGATCCAAAGAAATCAGCATGGCTTGGTCACCTTATCATTTTGCAAGAAAGTGTATAGATGAAACCTCCACTAGCCTTCACTCTTCAGTGACTATTATGAACAGAACCTCTCACCCAATCCACACTAAGCGTGTAGCATTTTTAAAAAAAAATGGCTTAGTAAACCACTGAGATTTGAGTTTTTGATTCTACATCATAATCTGGCCTACTGCAGAAATTAGTACTTACCAATCAGATGCAGCCATATCAACAAAACCTAACAAATGTGGCATTGGGTTCAGGCAAGAGGTGATGAGAAAATTCTTTTTTCGAGGCTGAAAGTATGGTTTTCCAATACTATGCAACAATGAAACATTTGATAGACCTGCCAGCTAGAATAACTTAGATAGAAGATTATATATCTAATGAACTTGTGGCGCTTGGGGGAAAAGGTTGGAAAGAGAAGTTTAATAGCATGTTTTGGCTGGTGTTGCCTATGTTCCATGAGGTATTATAAGAAAATGAGAAACTCATAAAAAGAATTGGCTGGTAACAAGCAGGAATATAAGACTTAGAGAGAATGCATGAATTCATTGATTTATAAGGTTGAAAGAGGTAACTCTCCTCAAACCCAAATAGTAAGAGATAAAACAGAGAAGATGTTTGAGCAAGAAAGACTGAGTAAAACTGAGCCTTCTGGCAGAGGTCAAACCTAAGGCTTGTGAATCAATTGAATTGGCACCCTGTATATGCTTTCAATTGGTCAAAATGACCCAGGGAAAATAATTTAAGGATGTGCTCTGCCACTGAAGTCTGATAAGTCCAAGGTACTCCAGTTAGGTTGAGAGAACAAGAGAGAATGATGAGAGTCAGAGTGACAGTAATAGAGAGAGAGATGGAAGGAGAAGCAGACGAAGATGAAAAAGAAAAGCTATGTAGTAAATCTAAATATGTCTAGAAAAGAAGTATGGGTGTGTCACTGGCACATGAAAGTAACTGGAATCAGATTAAATGCCTATGAAGTTTAGAAAAGCATTTTTCTGTCAAACAAATCATGAGCCTAGGCTAGAAATATCTGTGACTGTTTGAGACTTAGAAGAACCCTTGGCCTCCCACCTTCCTTGGATAGGAAGCAGGCAGAAAAAAGGTATGCAGCCTCCAAAGAAGGCATATTCTCCAATGTTCATTTTAGGTGTGACCAAGAGGATAATGGAAAGGAAGACTCTTCAAAAGGGAAAGCCTGAGAGCCAAAGAGAACAGTGGACTGGGCAGCACCTCCCAGCAAGTAGAATTGACCCAATCAAGGAATATTCTCTATCCCTGGGGTAGGGGCCCCTTACAACATGGAGAGATCTCAGAATTTTAATGAACCCGAGACTGCTGTGTGTTCCCATTCTTCTGAATGAGAATGTTTATTGCGATTATCTTGTCCCTGTTCTAACACTATATATTGAGTACGTGGGATGTAGAGAGTTTTCTTGCAGTTCTTAAGTCTCTGGACCAAGAGGAGCTATATCCAGACCTAACTCAGAAATTACTACACCTCATTCGCTGAGGTAGAAACTATTATGCATCACCCAGGAATCAATCTCAACCTTGAGGTTAATTCCATATCTAGATGTAAATTAAGAGGCGACTACTTTGCTTGAGAGAAGGAGAATGAATCAAATTTTTAAAGACCAGAAGAATGGCCTAGGAAAGAAGTTCTTCATCAGCTTGGAGTGCAGAGTATAACAAGCAAAGCTTCCTCACTAACCTGTTTTGGAAATGTTCTATGAGTGAGAAATATACCTTTTTTTTTTTTTTTAAGGATTGGCACCTGGGCTAACAACTGTTGCCAATCTTTTTTTTTTTTTTTTTTCCTGCTTTATTTCCCAAACCGACCCCTGGTACATGGTTGTATATCTTAGTTGCACGTCCTTCTAGTTGTTGGATGTGGAACGCTGCCTCAACGTGGCCTGACGAGTAGTGCCATGTCCCTGCCCAGGATCTGAACTCTGGGCCGCCGCAGCGGAGTGCGCCAACTTAACCACTTGGCCCCGGAGCCGGCCCCGAGAAATAAACTTTTGTTGAAGTTAATTATGTTAAAGCCTTAAATCTCTCTTTTTTTTTTTTTAAGGAAGATTAGCCCTGAGCTAACATCTGCTGCCAATCCTCCTCTTTTTGCTGAGGAAGACTGGCCCTGAGCCAACATCCGTGCCCATGTTCCTCTACTTTTACACGTGGGACGCCTATCACAGCATGGCTTGCCAAGCAGTGCCGTGATCGCACCCGGGATCCAAACTGGCGAACCCCGGGCCGTCAAAGTGGAACATGCGCACTTAACCGCTGCGCCACCGGGCCAGCCCCTAAAACCCCAAATCTCCATGTGATGGTATTTGAGATGAGGCCTTTGGGAGGTAATCAGGGTTAGATGAGGTCATGAGGGTGGGACCCTTATGATGGCATTAGCACCCTCATAAAAAGAGCCACCAGAGAGTATGCTCTCTCTCTCCACCTTGTGATGGCATAGAGAGGAGGCCACAAGCTAGGAAGAGTGTTCTCACCATAATCCAAGCCATGCAGGTAGCTTAATCTCAGAATTCCAGCCTCCAGTACTGTGAGTAAATAAATTTCTGAATTTTTCCCTAATAAATACATGCAGTGTAAGTTATTTTTTAAACAGCCTTTCAGCTGGACTTCCTGATTCCAATGTCTCCTCTCTCCAATTCACCATGTACAGCTATACCAGATTAATCTCCCAAAAGCAAACCTCTGATTGTGTCTCTCATAAATGCGCCTCTTCAACTGTCACATAAAATCCAATCTTCCTATCCTTTCTTGCTTTCTTGATCTGTCCTCAGCACACATTTTCAGTCTTATCTCTTACTAACAGCTTACGTACTTTATGCTGTAAACCTCATACCTTATATCCGTATTTATCACTATCCAAATATACCTTTTGATTTCCTGCTTCCCACAGCATGTACCAAGAACAGGTATGAGCCACGAAACAATCACCAGAGTAATTAATTAAAGAACTGCATTTGAGTTCCCTTCCCTCTGCAGTCCCCTCCCCACCCACCCCCTTCACCCCTGCCACCTTTCTGCAAACAGCAAAAATCGCCAGGAGATAATAAAACCTGAGATGGAGAGGAAGAATTATATTTCCTCCTCCATGAGGCCTGGCATTTTAACACAGTGGTTAAACATGTGTGCTCTGGAGTTACCCCGCCTGGTTTCCAGTCACATCAGCATTTGTGTTCTGTGTAACCATAGGTAATTTACTTAATCTCAATACTCCAGTTTCTTCATCTGTTACAATAGGGATAAAGATAGGCCAAAGGAAATGAAAAGAACAAGCTACAGTTAAGACAAGGTTAAGCCACTCCCACCAGGTTTGCAGATTTGTAAAGCCAGATTATTCTGTAAATGGCTTCAGGGCTCAAAATTACTGACAGCTTTCTTGGGTTACCCTGATAAGCATAGTTGAGAGTAGAGAACATCTTGCCAGAGAAGAGGAAAGGTATAGTGGAAAGAGAATGGACTTTGGAGCTATGTAGATTTGGATTCAAATGTCTACTCTTATAAGTTAGTAGTGTGACTTTGAATCACGTATTCAACCAGCCTCCCTGAACTTTATTTTTCCTGTACGGAAATGAGTAAAATAATGGCAGCCCAATAGGATGACGTGAGGATGAAAAGGGAGATAACCCATGTAAATAGACTTGCACATTTAAACATGAGCTCCCTCCTCTCCTCTCCCTGTCCATTACAGAAGCAAGAGCAAAATTAATCCTACTAATTCCTGAAGCTTTATTTTTCATCCCAGCATTCTGATTACTCAATGTTTCTCCATGTTCTTTGCTTTCTAAGCATTTCTTTCCTACAACAATATTTCATTAGGTTTGTGCTCTTAAGAAGCAATATAAATTAGCTACAATGTCTTTCTGTTTTCTTTCTAGTGAGCTGATTCTTACTGCATTGTGATAAATAAATAGCACTGTATTTCTTGCAATTGTTTATGATCTATGATCATGTCTACATATTAATACGCCTGCAAATACCATACCTATTTTCTTCTCCTGGCAACAATATTTATTTGAACTCAAAAATTATACTTACTTGAAATTCAAGTTTAAAACTAGAATTAAAATTATTTTTGTACCAATATCGACCAGTAATATGATCTATTTTGTTTGTTTATAGAGCTAAAAATTAATAATAGCCATTTAGTTCTTATTTCTCCATGGATTCATTTATTCTTATTATCCATTAGGTCCTTTGTTTTATTTGCCTGCAGTAAGGAAACTAAAAGAAGAGGACATTTCATGCTTGTAGTCATTTTGCTTCAATACGAAAAACAAGTCTATAAATCTATTCATGACTCCTAGGCACTGTGGGATTCTAGTAAAAAAGAGGGGGTATATCACCATATTATAATGATAAACTACAAATGCCTATATATATTATTTTTCTAGAGTAATTCAAATTAATAGCTTCCATCTAGAAATGTCATATAAGGTGTCCACATAGTAAACAACTGTCAGTAATTAGGGGTTTTCCAACAGCTATTTTATTGTTGTTTTATATATGATCCCTTCAGTGCTTATTAAGAAAACATTTCACTTCATTTTATTTTCATTTTAATAACCTATAAGCGCTTGAGTTTTCGCTTCTAACCATTCATTCAAAATTCAGCTACCATCTACAAATTAAGTCATACTATCACAGAAAATGTCTATAAATAAAAAACCTCTGCGATCGCATTATGTTCTATATATTCAGTTGATGAATACTTGAAGGCCTATTAAGTGCAGACTCTGTCAGGCCCTAGAGATACAATGATGAGCAAAACAGACATAGACCCTGTTCTCATGAATACACGGAAAACCTCAGTGCTGCACTGAAGATGTACGAAATGAGGAAGTCGATTTACACATAAAGTTTTTGTAGCCATCATAAATATTAAATCCATGGCCATGTGTTACGAGAGGTCCAAGGGGGGAAACAATTGCAGATTGGCTGGAAGTCATACTCTGGATTTCTTTTTTAATCCTCTTTTCTGTTCTTTTTTTTTAATTAAGATTTTATTTTCTTTAGAGCAGCTTTATGTTCACAGCAAAATTAAGGGGAAGGTTCCGAGATTTCCCATTTATCCCCTGCGCCCATACATGCCTAATCTCCCCTACTATCAACATCCCCCACCAGAGCAGTACATTTGTTACAATTGATAAACCTACATTGACACATCACAATCAGACAGAGTCCATACTTTATGTTATGGTTCACTTGGTGTTGTTCATTCTATGGGTTTGGACAAATGTATAATGACATGTATCCATCTTTATGGTATCATACAGAGTATTTTCTGTGTCCAAATTATTCATCTCTTCTCCACCCTGACAACCTAAACCTCTGGCAACCACCGAACTTTTTACTTGTTCCATACTTTTTCCTTTTCCAGAATATCATATAGTTGGAATCATACAATATGGAGCCTGTTCAGATTGGTTTCTTTCACTTAATAATGTGTATTTAAGGTTCTTCCATGTCTTTTTATGGTATAATAGTCCATTTCTTTTTTAGCACTGAATAATACTAAATTGTCTGGATATACCAGTTTATTTATTCCATTTACCTACTGAAGGATATCTGAGTTGCTTCAAAGTTTTGGCAATTATGAATAAAGCCACTATAAACATCCATGTGTATTTTTTGTGTGGGCACAAATTTTCAACTCCTTTGCATAAACACCAAGGAGCACGATCGCTGGATCCTATAGTAAGAGTATGTTTCGTTTTGCAAGAAACCTGCCAAATTTTTTACCAAAGTGGCTGAACCATTTTTTTCTGGGCTGTCCATTCTGTTCCATTAATCTATGTGTCTATTCTTTTGACAGTACTACACTGTCTTGATTACTGTATCTTTAGTGAGTCTTGAAGCTGGGTTCTGTCCAATTTTGCTCTTCTCCTTCAATATTGTGTTCGCTATGTTGTCTCTTTTACCTCTCCATATAAACTTTAGAATCACTTTGTCAATATTCACAAAACAACCTACCAAGATTGTGATTGAGATTGCATTGAATGTATAGATCAAGTTTGGAAAAACTGACATCTCAAAAATATCATTTCCTATCCATGAACATAGAATATCACTCCATTTATTTAATTCTTCTTTGATTTCTTTCATCAGAGTTTGTAGTTTTCCTCATATAGATTTTATACATATTTTGTGAGATTTATACATTTCTTATAATATATAGTGTTATAACATTTCTTTTTTTTGAGAGAAGCTAATGTAAATGATATTATGTTTTTAATTTCAAATTCCATTTGTTCATTGGTGGTATACAGGAAAATGATTGACTTTTGTATATTAACTTTGCATCCTGCAACTTTGCTATAGTCACTTATTAGTTCCAGACTTTTTTGGTTGATTCTTTCAACCAAAAACTTTTCTACATAAAAGATTTCAACTTCTTCTACATAGATGATCAGGTCATCTGTGGACAAAGACAATTTTATTTCTTCCTTCCCAGTCTATATATCTTTCTTTCCTTTCCTTTCTCTTGTCTTATTACTTTAGCTCAGATTTCCAGTATGATGCTGAAAAGGAATGGTGAGAGAGACCACCCTTGCCTTGTTCCGGATCTTAGCAGGAAAGCTTTGATTTTCTCACCATTAATTATGATGTTAGCTGGTTTTTTGCAGATGTACTTTATTAAGTTGAGGAAGTTCCCTTCTATCCCCAGTTTACTTAGAGTTTTTATCAAAAATGGGGTTTTGTCAAATAGTTTTTCTGCCTCTATTGATATAATCATGTGATTTTTCTTTTTTAGCCTGTTGATGTGGTGGATTACATTAATTGATTTTCAAATGTTGATCCATCCTTGCATACTTGAGATAAATCTTACTTGGTCATAGAGTATAATGTTTTTATACAATGTTGGATTGCTTTTGGTAACATTTTGTTGAAGATTTTTGCTGCTATGTTCATGAGAGATATTGGTCTATAGTTTTGTTTTCTTGTAATGTCTTTGTCTGGTTTTTGGTATTTAGGTGATGCTGGACTCATAGAATGAGTCAGGACGTATTCCCAAGGCTTCTATCCTCTGAAAGTGGTTATAGAAAATTGGTATAATTTCTTCCCTAGATGTTGGTAGAATCCACCGGTGAACCCATCTGGGCCTGAGGCTTTCTGTTTTGGATGGTTATTCATTATTGACTCAATTTCTTTTATAGATATAAGCCTATTAAGATTGTCTATTTTTCTTGTATGAGTTTTGGCAAATTGTGTTGTTTGAGGAATTGGTCTATCTCTTCTAGATTATCAAATTTGTGGGTTGTTCATAGTATTCCTTTATCATCCTTTTAATGTTCATGGGATCTGTAGTACTGTCCCCTCTTTCATTCCTGATATTAGTAATTTGTATCCTCTCTTTTTTTTTTCAGTTATCTTGGCTAGAGGCTTATCAATTTTATCGATCTTTTCAAAGAACAAACCTTTGGTTTTATTGATTTTCTCTATTGATTTCCTGCTTTCAATTTCATCAATTTCTGCTCTAATTCTTATTACTTCTTTTCTTCTGCTTACTTTGGATTTAATTTACGCTCCTTTTTCTAGTTTCCTAAGGTGGAAACTTAGATTATTGATTTAGATCCTTGTTCTTTTCCAATATGTGCATTCAATGCTATAAATGTCCCTCTAAACACTGCTTTCATGGCATCCCAAAAATGTTAATACATTGTATTTTCATTTTCATTTAGTTGAAAATATTTTTAAATTTCTCTTGAGCATTCTTATTTGACTCATATGTTATTTAGAAGTATATTGTGTAATTTCCATGTATTCCTGGATTTTCCAGTTATCTTTCTGTTATTGATTACTAGTTGAATTTCATTGTGGTCTGAGTACAGACATTGTGTGATTCCTACTCTTTTAAATTTGTTAAGGTGTGTTTTATGTCCCAAAATGTGGTCCATCTCAGTGAATGTTCCTGTAAGCTTGAAAAATATGTGTATTTTGCTGTTGCTGGAGGAAGTAGTCTGTAGATGTTAATTATATCCAGTTGATTAATGGCATTGTTGGATTCAACTATGTTCTTACCGATTTTCTGCCTGCTGGATCTGTCCATTTCTGACAGAGAGTTGTTGAAGTCTCCAACTATTATAGTGGATTCATCTGTTTCTCCTTGCAGTCCTATCACTTTTGCCTCATGTAGCTTGATGCTCTGCTGTTAGGTGCATACACATTAAAGATTATTATGTCTTCTTGCAGAATTGAGCCCTTTATCATTACGTAATACCCCTCTTTATCCATGATAATCTTCTTTGCTTTGATGTCTACCCAGTCAGAAATTATTATAGTTACTCCTGCTTTCTTTTGACTAGTGTTAGCATGATATATTATCCTCCATCCATTTACTCTTAATCTATATGTGTCTTTATATTTAAAGTGGGTTTCTTGTAGACAACAAGTCTTGTAGACAAAGTGGCTCTTGTTTTTTGACCCACTCTGATAATCTCTGTCTTTTAATTGGTATGTTTAGACCACTGATGTTCAAAGTGGTTATTGATATAGTTGGAATGATGTTACCACATTTGTTACCGTTTTCTATTTGTTACCCTTGTTCTTTGTTCCTGTTTTTGTCTTCCACTCTTTTTCTGCTTTTTGTTGTTCTAACTAGTGTTTTATATGAGTCCATTTTCTCTCCTGTCTTAGCATATTGGTTATACTTCTTTTTTTTATTTGTTTACCTTTTTTTAGTGGTTACTGTCAATTTGCTATGTATATTTAAAGCCAATCCAAATCCACTTTCAAATAATACTATACCACTTCCCACATAGCATTAGTACCTTACAATAGCATAATAATCCAAATTCCTTCCTCTTGTCCCTTGTATCATTGATACCATTCATTTCACTTATGTATAAGCATACATAAGCATATATAATATACAAATACATAAAATATACACATACACATACATAATGAAATACATGGTTGGTATTATTTTGAATAAACTGTTATCTGTTAGATCAATTATGAAGAAAAATAAAAGTTTTTATTGTACCTTCACTTACTCTTTCTTTGACGCTCTTCCTTTCTTTATGCAGATCCAAGTTTCTGATATACATTATTTCCCTTCTCTTAAAGAACTTCTTTTAACATTTCTTGCAAGGTAGGTGTACTGGCAGCAAACTCTCAGAATTTTTGTTTGAGAAATTCTTTATTTCTTCTTCACTTTTGAATGATAATTTTGTGGGTCACAGAATTCTGGGGTGGTGGGCTTTTTTCTCTCAATACTCTAAATATTTCAGTCTGCTCTCTTCTTACTTCCACGGTTTCTGAGGAGATGTTGAATGTAATTCTTACCTTTGTTGCTCTATAGGTAATTGTTTTTTTCTCTAGCTTTTCTCAGATTTTTTTTTCTTTATCTTTGATTTTCTGTAGTTTGAAAATTATATGCCTAGGTGTAGTTTTGGCATTTATCCGCTTGGTGTTCTTGAGCTTCCTGAATCTGTAGTCTAGTTTCTGACTTAATTTTGGCAAATTCTCAGTCATTATTGTTTCAAGTATTTCTTCTGTCCCCTTCTCTCTTTCTTCTCCTTCCTGTATTTCCATTATGTGTATGTTACACCTTTTGTAGTTGTCCCACAATCCCTGGATATTCTATCGGGTTTTTTTCAGTCTTTTTTCGCTTTGCTTTTAGGTTTTCAAGGATTCTATTGATATATCCTCTAGCTCAGAGATTTTTTCCTCAGCCACATCCAGTCTATATAGGGCCCACAAAAGGAATTCTTCATTTCTGTTACAGTGTTTTGATCTCTTGCATTTCTTTTTTGTTCTTTTGGACAGACAGGAACTAAAACCAAGTTGTGTATGACTCCAAACCCCATGCTCTTTTTCCTAAGCTATTCTGACTTTATAATTAAGAAAATTAGTTTCCAGTCAAAAATTTAAAAGAATCTCTTATCAAACAGCAGTAGTTTTCTTATTTGTGTAAAAGTCTAAAACCATGTTGGAGACTTAATTTTGCTCAGATCCTTGGGATGTCATTTGTATCATTGTCCTTGTGAAAAGGAGCCCTCAGGAGTTGTTCAGTATGGTGACCCTGTCCCATTTCCTTTCCCCTCTTTAACTGCTCACTTCTACCTTCCTAAGAAAAAAAAGCAAGAAAAGCAAATACTAGGAAATAGCTTAATGATAGTATGGAATTTTCAATTGGTCATTTTTTGTCTAGTTCCTTATTCTACTATAAAATATAAGAGAATAAATAAAGCTTTTCTTATTTGAGTCCACTCAGTGGTGAGCTGGAGTCAGTTCACATAAGTTCCAAAGAGCTGATTGTTCTCATCCTTTCCCAACCTGTGATCAATAACACCAAGATGGTACTTTGAACACAGCCACAGTGGGTATATTCGTTTTCTATTAGTGCTATAACAAATTACCACGAATTTAGTGGCTTAAAACAACACTAATTTATTATCTTACAGTTATGTAGGTTAGAAGTCTGTCACAGGTCTCATTGGGCTGAATTCTTTTCTGGAAGCCCTAAAAGAATCCTTTTCCAAAGATTTTCCAGATTTCTAGAGGCCTCCCACATTCCTTGGCTCATGGCCCCTTTTTCTCCATTTTATTGTGTGTGTGCGTGTGAGGAAGATCGGCCCTGAGCTAACGTCTATTGCCAATCTTCCACTTTTTGCTTGAGGAAGATGGTCCCTGAGCTAATATTCATGCCAAACTTCCTCTACTTTGTATATGAGGCCCCACCACAGCATAGCTTGATGAGTGGTGTGTAGGTCCACAACCATGATCCGAACCTGCGAACCCCGGGCTGCCGAGGCAGAGCGGCCAAACTTAACCACAGCAACTCTAGGCTGGCCCTCCTTTCTCCATTTTTAAAGCCAGCAACATTGCACTTCTTTGATCGTTGTTTTGTAGTCATACCTCCCTCTGACTTTCTTTTTCCAGCCTCTCTCTTCCACAATTAAGTACTCTTCTGATTACTCTGGTCCTGGACAATCCAGGATAATCTCCCTATTTTAAAGTCAGTTAATTAATAACATTAATTTCATCTGCAACCTTACTTCTCCTTTACCATGTAACCTAATACATTCTCAGGTTCCAGGCAATGGGAAGTGGACTACTTTGGGGAAAGGCATTAATCTGCCAATCACAGAAATTGGCAAATGCTACAAATCAGGATTCTGCCCACCCATCCCACCCTCAAGAGCTGGTTGCTAAACATTTACCAGCACACCACTGCTACAAGCAATCATGAGGGAACATCAGACAAACCCCTTATAAGAATTATAGGATTAAGGCAATTTGACAGGATTCTTCTAACAAAGTTGCTTTGTAACTTAAGATGTTTAAATATACTACATAACAGGGAATAATAAATTACTCTTTGACCAATTTAAAACAAATCAAGTTTCCAAAGTATCTTCACTTAGGACGATTTAAATGGAGTTTGAAAATCTTGTGTAGCATTGACTCCTCTTTCTGGTTAGGAACAGACAGAAAAAGGTTATTATAGAGTATATAAGCTGTTACCTTTTAAGATTAAAAAACAACTGCAGGGGAAGAGACCTGAGATAAATTTTTCAAGATGCTTTTTGTCATTCATATAGCATCAAAGGATTCTTTCAATATCAAGCATGGATTAAGTCAGTATCATTTTCAACCTAGGAGAGATGACCTGCATATCAAGATTTTAATTCACTGAGTCATAATGCAAATTAGAGAGGGTGGAACATTATTATGGCATGCTATGTGGGCAGGCATTGCTTTAGCAAACCTAAGGAGAAACATAAATCACACCACTTCTTAGTCTTATAGTTCTCGTGTAAAAGGTGGTCACCTCGTCCACATGTTGAAATCGATAATATTTGCAATAAGGGATCATTTGATCAGATTGTTGGTAGTTGGACAAGCTTCTACTAAATAGTCCTTTTCTTTCCTTTCTTTTATATAATGTGGCTTTTAGGAGTTTCCCATTAAAGTTTCCAACAGAAGGAGAGGAGGAAATGAATTCTAGGGTTTATAATTATAATAACAAATATTTAAATAATGCTTCTTCCACCAGGGGAAATTCTAAGCCTCTTACATACATAATGCTATTTAATTGTAATGACAACCCTATAAGACAGGTCTAGGGGCTTCAAGGAATGAACTCTGAAGGCAAACAGCTTGGATTCAAATCCTGGTTCCACCACTTCCTAGTTGTTATACTTTGGGCATATTTTTATGCTTTGGGTTCCTCATTCATCTAAAAGAAGGGGGAGTAGTAATAAGTCTGCTTTATAATGTTGTAATTAGTAATAAATGAGGTAATACATGCAAAGAGCTTAGTGTGGTGCCTGGCTCAATAATGTTATCTATTATTGGTATTAGTTTCATTCTGACATGAGATGCTTTCTTATAACCCTTTCTCTTGCCTTTTTTCTTTCTACATAACCAAGAAAAGTGGAGATTTTCCCCAAAGATGAATTCTACCAACCACCCTAGAGGAATGGGACCAACTGCTATCATAGGAAATATTGAAGTGTTGTAAATATATATATATTTTTTATTTCATTTAAAACTTAAATTTCAAATTAACATATAAGGTCAAAAGCAATTGTTAAAATAACAATGTTCCTAAATGCCATATTTGGGCATTTTTGAGAAAGTGGTTACAGAATAGCATTCTAACATATTCTCTACACCTCTAAAAGAAAGCCTTGGACGTGTAAAAATGTTTTCTGTAATTATTTTAACTGTGCTGAGCATGCATTGCTTTTACAATTGGAAAGAAAAGAAAAAATGGGAAGAAAGAAAATGGATAGTTTGGAGCAATGAGGACTATGGTATTGTGGACTTTAAGGTCTTTTTTTTTTTTTTTTAAATAAAAGGAGGACCTATATGGTTTTATTTGTGCCTGTATCTATTTGCTTTTCTTCATTCAGATTCATCTTGATTGAAATGTGGAATTAAAAAATAGCTTTCAAATTCCAGGAAAGGAGATGTTTTAGTACAAACATAATGCTCTAGTTGGAAATAAAAAAGACCTATTACAAAATTACCAACTGGGGGTGGTGGCGAGGGAGCATAATTCAGAATCATTTTGCAAAAGGCATTCCACCATCTCCAATTCTGATTCTCTGCCTCCATCAAGAGTCATTTGTAACCACTTAAGACTAGATACTCTGCTCTAGACACTTGATGAACTGGCCTTTTATTTATCTACTTAACAAATATTTATTGAACACCAACTATGTGCTAGGTACCATTCTAGGTGTTGAGGATACATCAACAAACAAAATGGACAAAATGGACAAACGGACAAAAGGTCATGGAGCTTACATTTTAGTGGGGGAAGATATTTCAAACAAAATATAACAGTAAATACTGAGGAGAGAAACAAAGAGAAGGGAAATAAAAAGTGATGAGGGTGAAGTAGGGTGGGAAATTTTGGACAAGGAAGTCCTCATTGAAAAGGTGACACTGGGGCAAAGTCTAGAAAAAAGTGAGAGAAGCCTTTCCAACATTTAGGGAAGAGAATTCCAAGCCAGGGAAGGGCAGAAATGTGCTTCTGTTTGTGGAAGATCAAGTAAATCCACGACAGAGGTGTGTGAGCAAAATGGAGAATAGCAGAAAGCAGAGTCAGAAAGTTTTTTTAAAAGTATCTAGCTTTCATTGAGTAAAATGGGAAAATCTTGGTGGGTTTTGAGCAAAGGAAGGTCATATTCTGACTTACATATTAAAGATCACTTTGGCTGCTGTGTTGTAAACAGACTGTAGACAGGGAGAACAGCTGAGAGGTTATTTTAATAATCCAGGTTAGATGATGATGGCTGAGGACCAAGGTGATAGTGGAAGAATTGTGTTGAAAACAGTGAGATTCTGGGTATATTTTGAAGGTGAGCAAACATGATTCATTGATACATTGGATATGGGGGTGTTAAAAGTTAATGAAGACTCCAAGGATTTTGGCCTCAACTACTACAAGGAGTATGTTCCTATAAATTGATATCATTGAAGGCAGTGGGATTGAGATTGTGGATATAGAAATTGAGATGTTCACAAGTTCAGAATTGGACATGTTAGATTTAAGAGACCTATTATACATCCACGTGGAGAGGTCAAGCGAACAGAAATGCATATAATCATATATAATGTGTGTATACATACATATACATATGGAAAAACACCCAGTCTGAAAGATTACCTTGAACATCCCAAGCATGGTATGTGAAGCATGAGACTGGATGAAAAGATTGCAGATACTGAAAAGGTTCAGTGTTTTTCCCTTTGGGGCACTGCAATGCTAAAAGGTCACGAAGATGAAAGTGCACCACCAAGAGACTGAGTAGAAAAGCCAATGATGCAAAAGAATAAGAAAGACAGTATGGTGTTCTAGAGACTAAGGGATGACAATGTTTCAAGAGGAGCTCTGTCAACTGTTACTGTTAGGTCAAAGTGAGTACTGATGACTGACTTCTGAATTTAGAAATGTGGAGGTCATTGATGACCTTAACAAGAGCATTTTTAGTGGAGTGGTAAGGGTAAGACCTGATCAGCGTGGGTTAACAAACTTGAAAGAAGTGAAGTTCAGTATAATTTTTGCTTGGCTCTTACGGGAAGCATTTGTAAATTCTGAAAACTGCAACTTTTCAAAAATACATAAATCCTAACCCCAGATATCTGTATTTAAATACAGCTTTGCCTGGTGACCTCATTAAGATGGAGAAGTGACAAAGCAGTCTGTTGTAAAATTAAGCACAGTAAAAGCACAATTCTAAACAAATTCACTTGAAAGAAAAAAAAAAGCCTATCTTTCCTGGCAGCATTGACATCTGATGCATTCCTAATGGACAATCTACTTCTATTGCCATTGTAGCTCCTGAATAGTAGTAATAGCACGTAGTTTCTTCAAAATATACTATATTTCATGCCAAACTTAACATTCATTCTTATATAGGAAAGTCCTGAAGATGCTAAAGTTTAAGAATCCTTAAGGATCCATGATTGTCTTCAATACTAGAAAATGCTGTTACTTCTTTCTTAATATAGCATTTATTTGGAACTGCTTAGTAAAATGTTCTTCAAAATAAATGTTTTCCAATAACTTAGCTATCTATAACTAAGGCCACCATGTTTCTTTACACAACTTTAAACTTTGAGGTGATTTGTACCCAAGTGTCTAGAGCAGTTGTCAAGAGGGGTGGGAATGGGGCAATTTTGCCCACCAGTGGACATCTGGCAATGTCTGCAGGCATTTTTTGTCCGGAGGCAACCTGGGGAGGTGTAGAGTGCTACCAACTTCCAGTGGTAGAGGACAGGGTCACTCTTAAATATGGTAAAATGCACAGGACAGGCTGCTACAAGTTATCTGACTTGGAAAGTCAACAGCGGTAAGGTTGAAAAACCCCACTCTAGAGACTGAAATTACACAAGAAACTCAGGAGCTTAAAGTATAAGGTGTCAAGGAACTGAAATGCACTCTACACTCTAGATCCAAGACCACCTGGGTTCAAATATCTACCTTTGACCAACAGAATGTAGTTCAGTAATTTAACTAATCCAAGTCTTAACTTCCTCAACTGTTTAAAAAAATTTTTTTTAAGTATTTGAGATAATCCATGTTGAATTACATCAATTAGTTCCTGACATGTAAAATGTGCTCTACCGTATAAACAAAGTATTTCAATTATTTATACATTAATCCAAAACGTCTCAAATTCCTCAAATGTTTCTATGACATGATGACTTAGCTGCTCACACCTGTGTGAAAACTTATAAAAGATACAATTAATTCTTGATTAGCCACCACTGAAATGTTCTGTTCAATCACCATTTAAGACTCTGCTAAAAGGCCTGAGCCATGTAACACCAACATACACATTAATATTTTCTCCAATTGAATTCCAATTCCATAGTCCATCTCTCACACTTTCCCCACTTAAAATTGCTACTAATGTACTTCCCAGCCTTTGAAAACCTGCCAAGGCTCAGCAGTTCTCAAGATCTCTTCTTGGCTCCTAGCTCCATGGTTAGCAGTAACAGACTCAGATCCAACTACAATTTCCAACAGCAAAACCACAGTGACTGATAACCTTGAAAATCTTCAGCAAAGAGAATGCCACGGTAAAAACTACTGTTAACAACTGCACACACTGACATCAGCCAGTAACAGAAATCCAGAGGTTTCCATTTTGCCAATGCCAGAGGCTTGAATATTCTTCCTGACCCGCCTTTGTATAATTTCCAGGTCTAGTTGTTAAATATGCTCCAGTGAAGTTACCAATGGCCTACACAGAAAATGAAAATGTTTTATTGAGCAGCTTAAAGTCTTATTTTCAATTTATATAAACATATAGAAATTCAAGAAATTCCTTAAATTCTAATCATTTATTTCTTATAAAGTTCAGAGCAGATTTTCAGCATTAAATAGTCAGACATATCAAGTTTCAGATATTTATTAATCAGTGTAAACCCCAACATAACACACCAACATGATTTCGTGCATTTAGAGGGGGAATATTTCCTGGTTAAGTGGAAAATTGTGCGGATGGCTTCTGGAAGACCTTCATTCTAAGCAGCTTGATAGTGAAACATTTCATTTAGAAGTCTGGACCTTCTTTCTTCAGTTTGCTGTAATCTACATTCACCGAGAAGAACTTGGAAAAGAAAAAAGATATTTTAGATAACCTATCAAATACACAGAGATGGTACAGAAGTTTTAGAATTATTTATATTCAGTTTTCTATATAAAAACTACAGACCTGAATTTTTTATTAAGAATACTTAAAAGTGATTCAAGAAAGACAATAAAATTCCACCCTCTAAAAATGGTTTTGGCAAAGTAAAAATATTCAATCCACCTCAGAAGAGTAGTGTTAGTATAATCTGTTAGTCAGAATCTATTAAAATTTCTTCTATTTCAAAGTAAATAATTAAGAATTCCTTCTGATACATACTTCCAGTTCTTATGCTTTTACTTCCATCTTTACTAAGTACACAAATGAATCTCCAACAGAATAGAGGAAAACCAAGAATCATCATCGCTACTTGGTTAGCACAGTGCTATAATCTAGATAGGACAGATTCACAGCAACCAAGGTAGGCTAGTAGATACAGTAACGCTTTGTTGTGGGGTTTACATAACTTTTTAAACACAAACTGGCTTGCCTTGACGGCTCTTCTCTTTTCTCTGTGTCTCTCACTTAGAAGTTTCCTTAATTTCCTAACCCAGATTGCATCAATATTAAACTGACACCTGACCACTCTAGTACAAACGCTTTTAAATAATACTGTATATTTGAAAATTTGTAATTCCCAAAACTTTCTTCTATTCAACTAAAATTATAGAAATAAATCTTACTATTTTACTATGATTGCCTTAAAAAAAACTGCTTCTAACTCTCAAAAACTTTTTTTTTAATAATTTATATTTGAAACCGCTCCAGTTTCTACTCAGGAAACATTAGGATTTGTACATAAGTCCAAATAAGGCTATAATCTTAAGTTTACTCATTCTCATGCCAAAGAACACTGAAGAGGTTGTGCTAGAATTACTTTAAGACTACGCTATTTAACTCCAAAAGAATCCAAACTGCAGAATCATCAACATTTTCTTCACAGAGTTTTAAAGCAAAAACCTCATAAATATGTATCCATTATTTCTTCAAACGCTTTTTAAAATTTCTCCAAACATACCCTAACTTTTTTATCTCTAACTAAAGTGAGAAAAATTCTTACTTTACTTGACTTGTAAAAAAAGAAAAATTCCCCAGTTGTAAAGCTTATCCTTGAGGTACAGACAGACTTTCATAGACAGAGAAGTAAGAATAAGCCATAAAGCAGTATCCTTTGTTCTGACAGTGTTCTTACGAAGCAACTGAACCTAAACAACGAGACTTAAAAAAGAAACTAACTGTGCTCTCTCTAACATGTTAACAAAATGCTAGAGGGAATATTTATAAAAGGAACTGCAGGTTATACATTAAGAAGAAAATAAACACTTGTTGGGCTCTTCTAATAGATGCCAGGCACTGTGGGCAGAAAGCTTTATGTTTATCTTATTTAATTATCACAATTAACTAATTTTTACTCAGTAAGATACTCAGTAAGAAAATTCTTACTCTTAATGACTCATTCTTATTTTCTAAAAGAGGCAACTGAAGATCAAGTTATATGATTTGCCAAACACTGATTAAGCAGCAGGATCAAGCCGTTATACCCATGCAGAGTGGAAAGGTCATGGTATCTTTGCCTGTTTTCTCAAAACTAAGCAAGCTTCTGAGGCATTTACTTCTACTCCGTTCCACAGGCCAGTATCAAAATTCTCTATTTACGTAATTTTCAACTCTGCTTTAGTTTTCAGCTTCCATTCCCCCGTTGTCTTTCTCAATTTAACGGTGGCTACTCGGAAGGTCTGTGGAACAACAGTTTAGCAAGGCGCAACATACTCTGATCTTGGCTTTGGGGCATTTTATTCAGTGGAGAAGTGTTGCTGGGCCTTTGATGCTTAAACTCTATTTTAGTCTCCTCTTTTGTTTGTATTAGTTAGCTTTTGCTAGATTATAAAGGGGCAACAAATAACCCCCAAATCTTAGTGCCTTACCAAAACAAAGGTTTATTTTTCACTCACATTATATACCATTTTATAAGCTGACTGTTGCATGATGTCTTCATCCCAATCCTGGACTGAATGAATAACTCTTAATGTCAATTTTGGTCTCAGGACAGATGGAAAAGAAAAATGGGGAACACACAATGGTTCATAAGTAGCAGAGATCACTTCCCCTCACTTATGATTGGCCAGCCAAGTCACATGGCCAAACCTGATGTCAATGGGCCAGAAAAACAAATTCTCATAGGTGAGGGACAGTGAATGATGAGAGAGAATAATCTAGTCTACCTCATTGTTTGGGTTTAGAAGCAGTAGTAGGGCTTCGTTCACTCTAAGCTCACAAGTTTCTGGACTTTTATTTCTCCTTGTAAACTGCCCAATTCTTCTACAAGCTCACCTCTTGGGAAATACAGCCAGTAACAGTCCACTAACATCCTGTTTCCAAAATCTTTTTCTTTTTTTCAGAAAAAGCTTCTTTTTAGAAGCTCTTTAGACACATGATCTACCTTCCAAGTTACAGCAGGTGACTTTATCAAGCCTGGACTCTGAGTAACTATGACACTGATATTATACACTTGGGTAAATTGTATGGTATGTGAATTATACCTTAATAAAGTTGCCTTGGTTTTTTTTTGTTTTTATTTATTTTTTTTTTTTTTGACACTGCTATGCTTTGTCTTTGTATGCAAAATTTTTACACATAAGGAAGTTAACGTTTGGGGAATCAACAAATGGCTTCAGATTTGCGACAACATGGAAGGACCTTGAGAGCATTAAGCTAAGAGATAAGTCATACAGAAAGACAAATATCAAATATCACTTACATGTGGAATCTAAAAACAGCTGAATTTGTAAAAACAGAAAGTAGAATGGTTGTTGGGGGGATATTGGGGAGATGATGTTTAAGGGTACAAACTTACAACTAATAAACAAGTAAGTTCTGGAGATCTAATGTACAATACAATCATTAGTCAACAACACTGTATTGTAAACTTCAAAGTTGCTTAGAGACTAGATGTTAACTGTTCTCAACATAGAAAGAATAATTATGTGACGTTACAAAGGTGTTAGCTAACACCAGTGCGGTAGTCATACTGCAACGTATCAAACCAACAGGCTGTATAACTCAAACACACATGATGTTCTATGTCAATTATATCTCAATAGTCTCAGTCCACAAAATCATTCTTTGGAAGAGTAGTTCCGCAAAGCACTCTTCAAAAAAGATGTTATAAAGTTTATCTAGAAGGTTCATGGTAAAATGTAAGTTTCAGCTGACTTTCACTTCTTCCTACTAACACTCATCTGAAATATTTCAACCATACCAACAAGGAAAAATAGTCAACCCAACCATCCACTAGATTAGGGCCACTCAAAGTCTGGTCCATGGACCAGCAGCTTCAGCAGCATCTGAAACCCTATTAGAAATGCAAATTCTCAGTCTCCACAACAGACCATCTGAGTCAGAATCTCTGGGTGTGGAGCTGAAGACTCTGTGTGTAACAACCTCTCCAGTTGATGCCGATGCACACTGAAGTTTGTGAACCTCTGCACTAGAATATCTAAGATCCAGGAAGACAGTAAACAATAGCTATACTATCCCCTCCTTTTTTTCTTAGTCAAATCAGCAGAATTGAGACATTATCTTAATTTCATATCCAGAGTCTAAAGTCTGTGAATAAAATCCCTAGAAAAAAATATTTATTACAAAGCTATGCCATTTTAATTTACCAGAACAATCCAGCAGCTCCTCAAAAGTCATCATGATAGAATTTTACTTGTACATCCAATTTCAAAAAACACTACTCAATGGCAAAACTTATTAAAAGATACTTTCAGCAATTCTGAAACAATTTTGTAGCTTACCTTGTATTGATCATTGGGACCCAGTTTGTTCCAGGGTTCTGGGTTATTCTTTCTGTCCCAACTAAAAGGAACAATACGTTGTACTTGTTATAGTAATAAAACACTATTTAAAATAGTTTTGTACTTCTTAAGAAGCTAATATCTTGAACAGACCAATCTCATCTTCTATAGGTGAAGGACAGTGGTGTTTTCATTTTGGAGCTGAAACAAAGATAGGCCCTCCAGCAAGCAATCCCATGTAATCAACTAGAAAAAAGGTAGACGACACAGCCTTGGGGGCAGCTGTCCTCATCCCTATCCCTGTCATAGGCAAGCTTACACTTGGCTTTTACTATATTTTCTATTTCATCAATGAAGTGAAAAACAGAAAAGCGCTCAGAATAACCATGAATCAATCTTTTCATTGTCTGTTGTTTTCCAACTTCAAAAAGAAACATTCTTTATTGTGGAAGAGCAGGCCACAAACATTTACACTTACCAGCAACCCGGATTAAGTATTTTATAAAAACAGTTATTATCTCACAATGTTACAAGATAGGTATTAGCAGTTCTACTCTACCAGTGAGAAAATGGGACTCAGAGAAATTTAGATAATCTCATGAACCAGGAAAAGTAAATGACAACAGCAGAACTGGGATCTGAACTTACTGTATGACTACAAAACTCAGGTTCTTTCTACTAGTACTTGATGCTGCCTCCCTAGAAAGACTGTGGCTCCTAAACCAGCTTGATAAACCATCAAAGTTCTAAACATTTTAAAGGACTCACCTGACATCTGGATTGAACATCGCCAGGCGCAAGACATAGAGCGCTGCTCCAGTACCTCCCGCTCCAATAAAGATAAAGAGAGGGATCAACTAGAAGCAAACACAAAATTGACAAGAATTAATCACCATCTTCAAACACCTAGACGTCGACAACAGAAAGGCTACCGTGGCTTCTACACATTGATTCTCGAGTCTCAAACTGCTATTTTTCAATCTTGTCTAAATATTTGAATAAAGGTGGATCTTACATTCAGTAAGATTTCTTTTTACTGTCTTCAAAAGAAAGAAACGGAATTTCCAAAGAATGTGAAGATGATTCTGTTTTAATGTAGAAAAAAATTATATTCAAATTTAAAAATTTCCAAGAAAATATATCAAGTCTTCTTCATTTCTTTAATATTTATACATCAGTCTCAGTAAATTTCCCAGCTTCCTTTACGTCCAGGCTTGAAAAACAAGCTTTTGGCAAATTACTTAAACTTGTCTCGATATAAGCCTAAAGAAAAACAAATTCTGTGAAGTAAAAAGCCTGAATGAGCAAACAGAAACACTCCCATTACAAATATCGGTTTGGGGCATCATCTCTGAAAACATACTGCTGCCAACGCTTAATGTGTAGTTAGGCAACTGGGTTTAGGATAAAGATTAAAGACTGCGTAATGGAGTTTTAAGGCCACAGCACGCTGTTGTGCTAGGGGAAAATGAGAGGTACAAAAGATTTTAACTGCGATTAAACTCTGCGCCACCAAACTCCCCAAAAATGTCAAGACAAGAGGATTCCAAGATCAGAGACCCTCACTGTCACAAGGCCTGGTGGTGCAATGCGGTGAGTATAACATGCTTAACACACAGCAACAACAGACAGAACACCTGACCTTTGCCGGTCTCTAACCCACACAGCGCACAACTATCCTTCTAGGTGCCACCAACCTGAGAGGGTGCGGCCACCACATTGCTCCAACCTTCACCAGTTTATTTTCCTCGAAGGAATCCCTCACCTCCCGCCCGCCTGCATTGGAACGATGCATGGCTTAGAAGGTCAGAGCTCAATGGCCTGAGACAACGAGGAGGACAGCACAAAGTGCGGCAAGGCCCACCCCGAGGAACGGTAAGTGGCTGTGAAGAAGCAAGCTCCCAGGGGGCGGAAGCAGCCTCCACCAACACAAGATGGACAGGTGAGGACACTGGGAAAGGGGTCACGACTTACGCTCGGATGTTTCTTGGCCTGACCGAGGATGTGGCGGAGCATGGCTGCGGCAGAGGCCTCAAATCCGGGAGGTCAGAAAAACAAAACGGCAAAGCTCGGGACTCAGTAGTCACTGCACCGAGGCTGAGCGGACGTTCAAAGTCACTCAGGACCTCCTACCTGAAGGACCCCTGGCTCGGAGGGCAGCTTGCGGCAGGAGGGCCCGGATGCTGCTGTCCGTAATAGTGCCTGCTTTGATCCAGTGCCTCACGCGTCCTCTGTAACCTGGCCAGACCTTCAGCGTTCCACTCCAAAGCGAAACATTCTCATTCCTGTGCTATGTATATTTCTGACGGGTAAATTGGTGCGTCGAAACCAGAACACTTCGATTGACTAGACAGGCACTTTCTTGGGAAGCCACGCGTTGAGAAATGGGGCCCGCGGGAAGACGGACAGGCCGGGCGCTCCGCGGTCGGGGTCCTCTTGCTAGGCTCCAGCGAGCCGGTGCCGCGCGCTGAGGCGCTGGGGGCGCGCGTGCCGGGCGCGCGCCGGCCGTCCCGGAGCGCCGCCAAGGGAGCAGCGCGGCGCCTGTGGCTGCTGCGCGCCGGGCGCCGGGAGGGAGGGTCGAGTCTCTCGCCTCTAAGGTCAGCGCCTGCGGTTTAAGAAGATGCAGCTGCTTCCTGTCTGAGACTGTCGCTTACGAGCAGAAGTTAAAAACTAGTAAATGACTTAAAGATGGCAGTAGTCCTGTCAATGTGATCTTTAAACCCTCAGGTCTTGGCCCTCAATTGAATTCAGATCCTCCAGGACCTTTTTGACATTGCCACTGTCCCCCCTCCCTGGGCCCGAAATTGCATTCTTAACATGTATTTTCAATGGCATGTCGCTACACATA